ATTTTCCAGAACCATCTAAATTCAGCTGAGGATCTCTGGGCTCCAGTGATTGAGTTTAAATGATAACCTAAGTGCCTCATATAYCTGTAAACCACAAACACTTATTTCTATAAGCGAATTCCACCCTCAATGAAACATTCAGAAAAAGATAACAAGATTTCAAATGAAGAGATGCAGGAAGGTAACCCAATTCTATAAAACAGATTACTAATTTAATTAATCYGCTATTTCACAGCTGACACCACTAGTACCCAATTGCTTGTTTGCAAATGCTACGCATGCAGCAACCTACTGCTGCACAAAGCAGCAACGTTTACAGTGTTTGCTGAACGGGCTGGGATGCCTCGGCTCCTGCAAGGGGATAGTCACACTACAGCTCTCCATGAAGGTTAATGCAACCAAATCTGTAGGAGTGGTAAAGAGCCCGGGAGGAACAACAAGTCAGCATGACTAAACAGAGGCCAGCATTTGGACATTTGGCCTTCCACATTCAGCTCTAGCTTGTGTAACTTAACACAATGTATAGCTCTATAGCCCTAAAATTGTGAAGGTTACAGATCAGCAACAAATTTCCTTTTCTTTCTCTCGCTCTTTTTTTTTTTTTTTTTTTTTTTTTTTTCTGAAGCTGCTGATGGGAAGGCAACATCATTAGGAAAAGTCTGACCATGTGCAAATCTATCCTGAGTTAGAAAAACTGGGCACTTGCTCTGTTTAACTGCCAAACAAATATTTTCCTATAAAGGCTGGCTTAAGATGTATCCTGAAAAACTGAGTAAAATGTTGAGAAACAACAGAAAAACATTCCATATGCAACCAAGGTACTTACAGATCTGACTGGTTCAGATAAACCTGCTGCTAGTGTAAGAATTTATAAGGGTGGCATCTTGCTCTTTTCATATAGTGGCATATGCTATTTCACCTTTTGATAAATCGTGCTGTTCCAAAGCATTATTAACAGTGAAATTCTCCTTTCAACTATAAGAGTATAGAAGAAAAAGAACAGCTAGCAAATTCCAGGCTTAAACTATGGCCAGCATTAAGTAATCTAGTGGCATTTTAACTCTCTACTCATATGTCTTTACTGGTCATCATRGGGAATTAGAAGTGATTAGGATAGATTAGGAGTGATGCTTGGTGGTACTCTAAGTGCCTGCTCTTTTACTCCAAGGTTCTTCYTCAGTTGCTCTGGTTTTGCTCACTGTTGGTAGGAGGGAATGAGCTTGATGATCTCGAGAYGAAAAATATTCTGTATTAGTAATAAAGGTCATGTAATGGGCTAGAAGATGACACATACATGTCTCCAGTGGCTCTTGCCCCAGGAAACGTTACTGAAACTAGGAACATTTCTGCATGCACAGAATTTACAGAACCGCATCTTCCTCCTCTGTGAAGTTAACAGTCTCTAACCTTATTAGAGCTATTTTTTCCTTCCTGTGAAATTAAATGACTTTTTTTTTTTTTTATTAAATGTACACAGCTCAACCTGACTTTATAAATGAATGTAAGAGCCGAAAGGCAAATATTCTGTATTTACCATGACTTGCCAAACTGAAACAATCCTCAAGAAACCTCCTATTATATACATATGATATTAATGAAGTGTAATTCCCTCTGGGATGTAGGGTCATATTCAGACTGACAAYTACCACCAAAAATGTACGGAGAGCAAATTTCAGCCAAGGACAAAGGGGCATCTCACTGCTGTAATGCGAAATGCCATAGGAGGTTCAGCAGTGTATTTGTGTCTAGGCTCAAGATGAGCCTCCCTGTCTGCAAAGTCGATTTATGCCCACAAAACCRGGGCCAGCATCTCTCCAGCAACACACCAAGCTGCAAGGGGACAGCTGCATGGCTGGTGCTCTCCCTGACTTACACCCGCTGCGTAATAAGCAGAGGGAAAAGGGCAAGTGGTGTGAGTTAATGAAATCTGCAAAACAAGGGCAATTATAGAGAGCGCGAAGGCAGGAACTTGATTTTCCATTGCCACCAAAAACACCTGCAGACTGCAAAATGCTCCAGTGATGGAAGGGTCTAGTCTGTAGCACTGTGATCATGCAGTTTAGGCTTGGGTAAATAACTTCCTATGATCTAGCTCTCCATCCAAATAATTTTAAATAATAATCCTTATGTACCTTGTTTCGAGGCTGTCGTAAGAATTAACTAGTGCCAAGATGCCCTTCAAACACGCGAAGTGTTGTATGGAACAAACAAATTAACTAGTCTGGCAGAACAAGGACTTGCAATGACCTTGCTGCACTTGGAACATACTGTTTCACGTAACACAGGCTTTTGAAACTTCATGCTTTTATCAAGCTGAAAAAACGTTATTTTTTCAGCCAAAGAATGTATCTTACAAGGTTTGATCAGCTCCTCCCTCAATATACCATGCTTAAGCTGACAGGAAGCACCCTGAGGACTGAGGAACACGTGAAGGTGACACGAGCAGTCAGTTATTCCTTCGTATGGAGTTGCTGATATCCAGACACTACAGTATTTTATGAATTTACTTGAGTTGCTTATGGGCTCATTTGCTTAAAGAAAACCCTTCTTTGTGAAGAAGTATTACACGAAGAGAATCCTTCTCTAATTGTGGCTAAGCAGCCATATGAGTGTAATATTTTACTTAATTTAATGGGCAGAAAYGCTAAAAGCATATCTATGCAGCAGTGAGAGAAAATGTTCTTACTCTTTCACTTACTCAGCAACTCTTCCAAAATTACGTAACGTATAATCCCTTAATCATATGTTAACTCCACTGGATCRCCCGGGCGAGCTTCTCTCTGGGCTCGTTCAGGCCGGGGCTCCCATGGCCGTGCGGGGAAGCGCCGGGGCCGAATCCGCAGGAGCGGAGCTGCCTCCTCGGAGTCCCTGCGTGCGACTCCTCCTCGGAGTCACTGCGTGTCCTTTTCTGCTCAGGCTCAGCGAGCTCAGCACATCTTCAGGATGTGGTTTCTCCACCAAAGTCATGAATTTTCTTCCTGCAGTTATTTTTTCACCTTTCAGCCTAAACCACTGCGCTCAGAYAAGGTTTCTAGTTCCTGCTAAAATRTTTCTGAACCCCATTTAAMGTATGGAAGATCACTGCCCATCTCATGCACCAGCCCCTCGAGTGAACCCCAGCCCTGCTTGCGGCAAAGGCGGCAGTGGCTTCAGGTCAGGGCTGACCCTGCACGAGGGCAGCTCCTGTCCTACCTGCTGGAGACTCCCATCACACTGCAGAAACGGGATGTAATTTCCTGCTGCTGCTGCCCTCAGCCTTCGGCAAGTTTGCTGGGAGCAATGGGGAGCAGGAAAACACCCCCCTGCACCGTCCTGTCCCTTTCCATGGCAAAAATGTGCCCTTCGCCTCTGCTGGGGGGGCCCTGAAGCCAAGCTCGCCCTTCTCCTTCCTCGCTTTTCACCATCTCATCCTCCAATACTACTCATGTCAAATGCTGCTTCCAAGACTCCCGTGGACACGCCACCTGTGGCCCTGTCGCGGCTCTGCCTGTCTGTGACCCGGGTCAAACAGGCACCTGCGGATGGTTTTCCCCATCATCCACACCTTGTGCCACATCAGGCACCCCTGGAGCTACCGCGACCCACCATTTATTTCAGGGCTAAGATCTGCTCCAGCAGCTTGTCTTCTTTAGCCTCCTCGCCATTCCCAACGTTCTTGCCAYGTTTGGTCTCAAAACTTAGTTACCTTCTTTCACTTCCTCTTCTCTGAAGTGGCTTCCTGGGTCTCCTGGAATCTCCCTCTGAGGTCAAATCTCAGCTGGGCCCCAACAGCTCTGCTTTAACCTTGTCTCTTCATTCCTTTTCTCTGACCATCGTTATTAAGACTTGCAACTCCCCTGAAAAACATTCTGTAAAGAAGCTTACATTACATATAGAATACATATATTCTAAATGCTATACATGTACAACCTTTTTTTCATTTCTCATTACCATGATTTGGAAAAATCCACCCATGTGCTTCTCAATCATGGAAAGCTGATCATCCACACACCGTGTAGCACAATCATTTTCAATGTGAAATAACTCCACCAACTTGATTCCCCATGGAAGCAGCAGACGAACCCCACTAGCAAAGAGCATGGGGTGGTGACGGATACTGGGGAGCACACAGAGCTCCACAGAAAAGGGGCGGCCGGCGGGGCCTTCCGAGCGGTGACTCCGGCCCATGCTGCACGTCAGCGCTTCCTTGCACTAAGCCCCATTCTCTTGTGTTTGGGGAAAAAAATAACCAGTTACCATGAAATTTATCACAGCCCCTTGACAAAATAAGACGCTCACTGTAAGTCTTTGCTTAAAGTTAACGGATCTTCCCTTCTAGCAAGGGAACCCCGGAGATCTCCCATCAGCGGGCTCTTTTCTGTGCCCTTCTCCAAGGGCAGCGCGGGAAGAACCACGCGTCCCGCGGGTCCCGGCTGTGCCCTCGCTGCCRGCCCCCGCTTCCCGGCATCTCCCACGAGGGAACAACAACCCCGGGCGCCGGGAGAGGCCGGGGAGCTTCGTGTCCCCGTGCTGCAGTGCAGGGCACGCGGCAGCGCTGCTCGCTTTGCCTCGTGCCACAGCGAGGTGACCCGGAGCAGCCCAACAGCGCCCGGGTCAGCCGCGTTAGTGCCACATCCCTGCAGCCCGCTGCAGTACTGGGCATCACTGCAACGCTGCATTGCTCGGTGCGACGCAGCCCGAGAGCGTCTGCACTTGGTAGGCAGTAATGAAGRGCATTTTGTCACACGCTGCAGTCCATCAACTTTACGTTTACAGCATTCACTCAGTAACATGACAGGCTTCTGCTTCAACATGCTGATATATGAAAGATATAAACATATATTTACACAAAATTCTTGGAATAAATAAAATATTACAGACCTAAAAGCCAGTTTCCCTCATTCTTCTTCAAGGCACCACAAACAGAGGCCTCCCTCTACCTTTGTCCTTCAAGCACATGCATTTTATAGTTTTACTTAAATTCGCATGTACGTTTTTATATGTCCCTTTCTGGCAGACATGCAGAGCAGTAACATTACAATGTCCTTCCAATATTTACATGGAAACCTTCACTATTCCCATAAAGTTTCTGAAATGCTCCTCGCACTCATGTGTTTGCATTGACAGATCACGGACAGAGGATGAGTTTTGTCATAAATTAGTCTCTCTCTCAGCTATGCGGGCAGGGTGAGGCCGCAGAATACACGCAGGACCCACGTTCACTGTGAGGACTGGCTGTAGGAACGTGCAGACAGCAACTCCAAACCTCCCCGGGCCGYGCTGGGGAGCAGAGCCCCGGCCGAGCAGCAGCCCTGGGGGCAGCGGCCTCGGCGCCCGCCGTGCAGCGAGCGCGCGCGGCTGCGGGCGGCGAAGCCTCCCCCTCGCTGCAGCC